CTTTAGCTCTACTGACCCCCGAGCCCGATCACGTGATGGCTGTCTCTCAATCCCTACATGAGAAGCGGGGACTCTGAGGCACAAAGAGGTTAAGCAACGTGCCCCAGGTCACAAAGTCAAATCAGAGCCCAGTCCTGTCACCACTAAGCTGTTCTGCCTCTCCTGATAACTACAACTCCCTCAGGTCTTAATAATATTATCAGAACAAAGCCAGCACGCCTGGATTCTCTGATTCAACTGCGTGTGTGGCTCAAGAGAGGTCGCTCATTCAGCCACCAGGGACACGGAGCAGGTGGGGAAGGATAATAAAACCCATTGCCGTCAAGTCGATTCCGACTCTTAGCAACAATACAGGACAGAGTAGAACTGCCCCATGGGGCTTCCAAACAGCGGCTGGTGGATTCAAACTGCCGACCTTTTGGAAATACAATAGGAATGTTAAAAAAAGTGAGGGAGCGATTTTCCCACTGCAATTCAGATGCACCAGACGTATCTCTTGACAAAGATTACAGCCCGCACGGCTAGACCTTCTGCCGTGTGCCGTGGCTGTTCTTGGGGATCACTGTTCTTTTCATTCCCACCCACCCGAGCGGAGTTCCTGACAGAAGTGGCAATTAGTGCTGGGGCAGCGGCAACGCTTCTACCGCGGAACCCCGGGGAGACGGCCACGGCGCGCCCCGCTGCCATCCACACGGGCTTCTGGCCCGCTCTCAGGCATAAAGACGTCCAGCCCAGTTCCGCGGTTCCCCTCTAGCGCAGGACAGGGTCTGTTTCACTTCCCAGTCACGCCCGGTTACTAGCAGAAAGCTGGCTCCGAGGAGCGTGGTATGGCACTCACGGGGCCCACGCTTGTGGCCACACTTGGGGACCGCCCTGGGGCGGCCTGGGTCCCTCACAAGGCGGACACGGAACAGTCACCCTGGCGACCAAGGGCATTTGGCTCCTGGGGAGGTGAAGTCCTTGCTCCAGCCCAGGGTGCCTTCTGACCGTGGGCTCCGTGTGGGGCCGGGGGCCGGGGAGGGGGGACGCAGCTGCAGACGCACTGACCTCCTCCTCCTC